CCAACATTTTTGGAAATAGGATTTTATAAGTTACTACCCCCGTCCCCAATTTTTGGTTGCTTGCGACACCCCTGGTAATGGTATTGGCATAAAAGAAAAATAGACAGGCCTTTCCAGGCAGGCCAGGCAGGCCGAAGAAAATACCAGGCAGGCCGGCCAGGCCAAAAAAATAAGTTGGCCGGCACAGGCAGGCTTGGAATTCAGAGGCCTGTCATAGGCCGGCCAAGCCTGCAAAAACGCGGCCTGGTTGGACCTTGTTAGCTAGTATCAAGTTTATCTGACTTATTATAGGATTTTATTTTGTAGATTTAATTAAATTATCAACAAGTATCAGGTTATCCATACCATTATCAATAACTAATATTCATGACCAACCGCTTCGTTTATAATGCTCTCGCAGAGCTTCAGATTGCTAATAGCAGTCCAATATTCGGCTATCAGCATTTGCATATTACATCATTGGAACATGCTATGGAAAAAATTATTCCACTCGTTCCTGATGTCGAACAATATGTTCTTCTTGCTAAACAGAATTGCAATCGAAATTCATCTATTTTAAGTTTAGATGAATCAGCCGCTATTTATCTCTATACAATGCCAATAGGGTTTGTCACCCGTTTAAACGAAGCTCTGCGAGCTGAAAATCGAAATGCTTTGAAATCATGGTTCGCATTTCTTAAGCTGTTTATAACTGCTCTCGAGAAATTACCTTCATGTCACATTGTTGTCTGGCGAGGTGTTGCAGATGACGTTGGATCGGCATTTGTTGACAATGATGTGCAAATATGGTGGAGTGTAAACTCATGTTCAAGAGCACTTAATGTTGTTGAGGTATATTTGGGCGATAAGGGTACCGTATTTGCTATAGATGCAGTAAACGGCAAAGATGTTTCAGCATTTTCGGTATTTAAAGAAGAACAAGAAGTTATCCTCATGCCTGGCAGTCGTTTCTGTGTCAAAAGTAAATCGCTTAATTTCAGAAATAGTCTTTTCATTGTTCATCTGGAAGAAGAATCTTCATCTGCGGAAAACAAAAAGGGGTAAATTTATATGAAATATATCGTCAATATTATTAATATTCATATGCTAGAGAAGCACTCTCTGAACTTGATTACCACTAACAGTTGCCGAAAATATGCGATACAGATCTAACACTTGATTAAGCAAAATTTCAAATCAAGTTAGGAGTGACATTCCATATATTTTCTAATAAATATCGCATAACAGCTTGCGATCTTATACGTAGTAGAAATACATTGGTGACAGTCCACCATTCACTGTGCCATCTATGCGCCGATCACCCGTCTACGAGGGCATAGTACACTGATGCATCATCAAATGGGAGTGACAAATCCGAACCGGCTATTTACATTTTAAATACTTTCATGTGTTTTTGATTGTGTCATATATAATAAAACTAGTTCTATGTATAGAACTGTTTTCAAATTTGTAATAAAGATGATAGACATCGTAGTATTAATTCAGAGGATCACGAAGAGAATCGCATGTTTTAGAGTATTTAAAAAATTGAGTCACTTTTTAGTGAACGCTAGTACTTGAACAGGATATTAATGGTCATTTTCATCTCAGTTGCATACCTTTCATTTGATAATGTTTATCACGATATTAAAGGAAGACCAATTTATTATTAAAAAATATGTTAACACCTGTACTTTTTTTACCAGCTATTATTCACTTTTAAAAAGATGCCTAGATATAGATATGTATTCTTAATTTAGTTCTTCTAACAATCGAACTAGTCGATCCATAGACAACCGCTATAATCGGAATATAAATTCTCGCTATGATGCTTCTGCCAACAGAAATGATCAAAATCATAGCAGATATTCTAATGTTGATAGGCGTTCTCGGTATAATGCTTTTACCAACCAAACTGATCAAAAAAGTAATACTCAAGTGTCTCTACCCTCATCAACTATTGGTAATGCCGGCATCTCTTCAATTGGGGAACCACGTAAGTAAATGTGGCTTCTTAACAAGTTGATCGTTGTTGAAATTAAAAAGTGTACAGCATAGATAAAGATTTTATGTGTGTCTAATGATAAATGTCTCGATTCTTTTTAACGATACCATTCAATAAAATTCAGATCATTCATATTCAGCATGAAAATAATTTATCTTTGATGTATCGCACATCAAGCCGTCTAGAAGAAAATCATAGTTTTGAGAAGTCAGTATCGGCTCATCTTGTCTTCATTCCTTCCATTTGATATTACTATGAATATTAGGAATTATTGGATACTCTTAAAATATCTTCAGAAAATAAGTCTTAATAGCTATTGACAAGTTATTCCATTACCATGCATGATTCATATAAAAGCACGTGATTGTATTCTAATCAGTTTTTGTATTAAGGTAATTTGAATAATAGGACAAATACTTATCTTACCACAGCTTTGAGCAAATCTTCTGTGAAACCAAAATTGTTCTGTAGCAATCCTGCCCTTGATTACACAGTTGCCATAACAATTGGAGTATATCCTTCAGTCGTGCAACCTTTATTGATGAAAATGTGAAAACCTCCGATTAAAACCCGACTGTTATGTGTACTTCAAAAAACGAATGAGACGGATGGGCCATCCAAGAATGTGTGAACAGAAAAATTATCCTGGCAAACCTTTCCTATAAACACTTGAACACTTAAAATCACGTTTCGGTGTGTTAATGAATATAGAGAAATTTCACAAGTTCCACATATACTCCTTACCTTGTGATAAGCATTGCTATTCCTTATGAGCGAGTTATGGCTTCTCGCTTTAGAACTACACTGTAAAAAAAATAAATACTTTTCTGAGCCCTCCAAAAAGGTTTCGTAGGTTTTCAAAAGCTTCCAAATGCGTCCAAACGCTTAAAAAACGTTTCTTAAAATCTACGAAACCTTAAAAGGATCTGACCGCGGATATAGGGTCTGAACCATCTCCTGCGAAACCTTTTTTAATTTGTGTACAGAGAAAAAAGGTTTCGTAAGAAAATACGAAGCCTTTATAGTTTTCTAGTAAACCTTATGGTTTCACACTATTGGTTTTATACGAACCCATAGGATTTGCTAGAAAACTATAAAGGTTTCGTAGAAGATGATTCGGACCGTGTATCTGCGGTCAGATCCTTATAAGGTTTCGTAGATTTTAAGAATCGTTTTTTAAGCGTTTGTACGCATCTGGAAGCTTTTGAAAACCTACGAAACCTTTTTGTAGAGTTCAGAAAAGTGCTTATTTTTTTTTTACAGTTTAAGTACTACTACTCTTTCACTATTGGTAGCAATTTTCAAAACATTGGGTATTTGGTACTTATGCGGACCATTGATCTTGAAAAAGTACCTGAGCTATGCCAAAAAGCTATGCTTTCCAATAGCACTAGTAGTGATCTAAGAAAAACTATGGTTTCTTGAAAATACTACTAATCCAATTCTAATTATAAATTTTCAGTGTTGTTATTTCTATTTAGAGTATTTTAATAACAATAGGAATAGTAAGTTTTATTAAATAATATACGTACAATTTAGTGAAAAGTCATCATCCCATTTAAGAAGTTCTGAAGAATGAAAATATATTATATCATAAGAAACCATGTTGTTAGCTTCTCTTATGATTTATATTATATAACTATATGACTTTCTCTTGTATACTGAGATATTCTTGGACATTAATAATGTACTCTATAGCAAAGAAATCTTGAAAATCTTTATGTTACAATTGCTTTTATAAAATAGAAAAAAAAGCTGAAATAATAGAAAAAAATTACCATTTATATTTTATGGGAAATAATTTTACGAACATATGCACTCGTTTTCATATCTCTAACCTCGTTTTCTTTGCTTAATGATTGTTCGATCAATAGGGGCTGATATGTAGTACTCAACTATGTTCTTTGGACGCGAGAACATGGAAAAAGAAAAAGTTTGTTCAAGGGAAATGCATCTTCAAGTAGGGAAAAATCAATACATTTATATTGAATTAAAGTTTTGTTCGGACCAGATCCAAATACCCAAGGTTTTGAAAATTGCTACCAATAGTGAAAGAGTAATAGTACTTAGTTCCAAAGCGAGAAGTCATAACTCGCTCATAAGGAATAGCAATGCTTATCACAAGGTAAGGAGTATATGTGGAACTTGTGAAATTTCTCTATACTCATTAACACACCGAAACGTGATTTTAAGTGTGTCAGCATATGGAGTATATATGGTAGTATGTACTCACAAAATTTCATAAACAAAAACATTATGGCTGAATAATGGTGAAGTACACAATGTATGGATATCGATATGGTGACACTGAATTTTTACATGAGTGTGCCTCCATTGTGATCTTAGTATCTCCAGATGGGAGTGGTTTTAGAAGCTGAAATTTTTAGCATTTTTCTATCCTACTTAGGGCTACATATGAGCAAAATTTCATCGAAATCAGTGAGATCGATTGAGCACGTGTTCTGTCAAATTGGTCGTTCCTTTCGTGCAATGACTCCTAAGTATCACCTCTGAGATCGGAAGATAGAGCTCTATATTTTACTGTAAAAAGGTTAAACAAAACTGTTTCTCTTTAGATTTGGGAGACTTTCTCCCTTAACTTTTCTCTCCTCTCAGCAAAACAAACGAAAACTATGGGGGAAGGTGGGAATGCGTCCAAAATTTCTGCCCTATACATTTCAACACTCCCTTCAGATCGTATTTCACAAAAACTCTATCTTGTAGGGACTACGCTTTATCTCGAACGCTCAGTCGATTTACGCTGTATTACACAAAAACCATTTAAAGCTCGATCGCTTCCAAAACAGATGAAATATGGCAAGTCAACAATTATGGCCACTAACAACGAATTCTTGCTATTATTTGGAGATAATAAACTCCATCTCTTCGATGAAAATCTGAAATTAGTTAGATCTACTGCGGAGACACCCATATCTTCTTACGAATTAGTTGACATGATGTGGTGCGAGTCTGTTCAAAAGTTCATCGTTTTAACTAAAAAGCATGCATACGTGTTTGATCCCATTACAACTCAACTATCGACCATTGAAAGTGTTCTATTACAAGAAAATGAATCTGAGTTTATCTCTTGTACATGTTCAAATGACAAATTCTTCGTTGTCACGTCGGCATCGTACTATCCATGTTACTTGCAATGCTATAGTTTGCCTAGTCTTTTTTTAATTTGCCGATTGACTGTGAGCGATCTCATCGGCAATGATCCACCGTCCAAAAATCTTTGGAGTACTGACTGGACAAAGAAGAACGAGAAAGATGATGAACGTAAAATAATATCTGTGCGATACAACCAACAGAGACTTGGTATGATGATGAAAATTGGCTCAGACAACTACTTATATGTACTAGATTTAACTCAACAACCTATTAGCTTTGTTAAAACGGAACTACCATGGAGTAATGTTCATCTCGTGGTTCTAGCAAAAAGCGGTGAGTGGCTCGCTGTATACGATGGATATAATGATAAATTGATTCAGATCGCTCTTGACTGTCAATTTAAATCGGAATGGGGTCCAAAAGAATATTCACAAGACAGTTTTTTTAGCTTTTCAACAGGTTTTGTGGATCTAAGAGGAAATGTAAACAATGCAGTTTTGTTTGGATCATCTTATTTGATATTACTTCTGGATAATTCACTTGCATTACATCAAGTTTAATGTGATATTTTAATCAACCATACGATTTTTTAAACTATTACTTGTAACAATGAAATACTTTAACTCTAATAATCATCTGAATCAGAGATGAGCACAAGACAAGATTTTCCGTCCTGCCCTGTTCTCCGCGCGCTATAATCCTATCCTACCGCTCAGCAGGACAGGACACTATGTATTAAAAACAATGCATGTTTAATTTTTTGTTAAGTAAGGCACGTGTTGCCTCTCTTTGAGATTATATGACCAATTTATTTCTTTGTAGTTTTTAGTCATCACAATTCTATTTTTAAATAACAGTTAAGTTAATAAAGACAAAAAGGAATAAATATAATAACAGAACACTTTGATGATAACACATAAATGATAAAAAATACATTAGCACTAGT